CGGGGCTGCAACGCAATGTGCCTTCCTGATAGAAAAGCATGCCCTCTGAAGATTGACACTGGTGTGAACATGGGACAATGCGAGACGCGTCGCGCCTGTCCATATTTCTTAGAGTAATTTTTCACTTCAGCTTGGAAATGGTAGTTCCGTCCGAAATCGCTCCTACACGGTATAAATATACCAAAATATATTTTTAAATGACTTTTGACCTCCGAAAAATTGGAGAATCAACTAAGTCAAGAAGACAATAATTCGTCAAGATTTCAACCAATAATCGTTACAATACGGGAGTTTGTATCGGATCATTAGCATTGATGTTTTTTATACTTTTAAACTTTCTTGAGATGAATTTTTCTATTGCTATGGAGTAATTTTCTCTTAGGGTGTTGACAGGTATGGTGTATTGATAATTCGATTAGGGATTTGATTCTTGACAATTGCTTGACTTAATAGATGGAGTTCTGAATTATATTGTGAAGTCATTCATTATTGTACTTAATTGAAAGAGGAGTTTCATATTGAATTTTTTACATGTGGTGCTCTATTTTAAATTCACGATTTAACTAGATAATCGAAAGAGCCTCTTGATTAGTTAATCGAACTGGAAAATCGGGGAATATTCGTGAGAAGTTACCCTTTAGACTAAAACTATTATTATATTCATTGTAATTGTTCACTGTGCTTCAATTGGATTATTTCCTAAAATTAAAGTTCAATTGAAAGAACCTTAATTGCAAGTATAATCTAATTATCTGGTGAATTCGTGAGAATTAGCAGTAACAGAAAGTGAACTAATTCAAGAATTGGATCCCCAGTTGATTATCTTGCACTTGTCTAGTCATTTACCCTACTTTCTCTCGTTGATATTTCTGTGTTGCTCAACTCTCATCTTTTGTGATCAATTGATAGTTACTTTAATTTTACTAGTTCATTATAGTTGAAAATCATTCCAATCAAGTGTTAATTTTTTGGATAGCAATTAACTAACAATTATTTGAACATTATTTAAATCTAATCCATATTGAGATAATATTTTACTATTTATTATTGACTAGGGAGCATTAATCTCGTGTTGTGTTTTGCGCTTGTCAACCATCTAATTAAAATTTTATCGATGTTAAATACTCAATTTTTTTGTAAGAAACTAAATTATAATCATCTTAGAAAACTGTGCGAGGCAACTATATATATAAATATATTTGAGACGGTACACACAAAGATTTTCTACTGGAACTCTCTCCCGGCAGCCTCTAACGCTGTGTGGGGTTTAAGCAAAGGTGTAAAAAGCTGTACAGTACCCATGTGGCACACCATTCATAAATACTTCAAAATTTTCATTACAGAAATATTTAATTCATGTATTAAATTTCGCAAATCATTACAAAATCCAGCTGTATTAATTCATCAATTCGTCTTCATGTATCCTCATCATAAAAAAACGAACTTATATACCACTAATGACTTGAGAAAACGTACGGTTAGCATATTAACATGATATATGCACCAAAAAGAGTGTTGATTTGATGGAAAGTATTGGTGGTGAAAGAAAGACACATATATGTAGCCATAGGACTCCACGTGTGGAGGTGCTTCCACGTGGTATCCTTAAGCGCTAATTAGCTGACACATATTATATACTCCTTTTACTTCTTCTTCCTTCTTAATTTTCCAAGTTTTACAGATCACAAAACCTAAAAGGAAACACAGAGAGAGAGAGAGACGAAAATGGGTTCTGAAACTTTTCTTGAAGTCCTCCTTGCTATCATCCTTCCTCCTGTTGGTGTCTTTCTTCGTTATGGCTGTGGTGTATGTTCTTTTTTCCTTTTAAATTTACATTTTTCCCTTTAGAAAGAATAAAAACATCTGTTGCCAAATGCTTACTACTCTTCAATTTAATTTATTTCCTGTGACACTAGGTTTTTGGTCTATCGGCTTTATTTCATGTGACATTCTAAAAGGGAAATGCCTTTTTATAAATAAAAAATAATTTTATTTTAATTTTTTCATTTTACTCTTGTCGACATGATTTTATTGCTAGACAAAAATTCTAATACATGTTTAAGATTAGAAGTTTTATTGCATGTTTACGGCTACAAATAGTACCAAGTGTTTTCTCTTTTCATTTGAACTCCTAACGTCATACCAATCAGTCGGAATCCGACAATTCGATTCAATCCGACAATTCGATTCAAACCGAGAAAAAAAACCCGACTATGATTTGATTTGATTTGGTTTGGTGTTAAAAAAAAACCGACCATAAGTGGTTTGGTTTGATTTTAACTAAAGAAAGTCAAACCGAAACCAAACTAACCCGACATTACATATATAGAAATTTTAGATATATTTAATATACAAAAATATACTTATTGTGATATAATTTATAAATATTTCTTAAACTTTTTCATAATTTTATCTTTTAAGGTATTATTTCAAGGTTGGACTTAGAACTTTTGAATGTTCCAATAAGTTTTATAGACATTGTTAACTTAAATAATGCTAACAAAAGCCCAAACCAAACAAATCAATATTAATGCTAACAAAAGACATTCAATTCAATATTACGAACGACCATGTATTGAATATTTATATTTTGTTTTGGGATAATTTAGATAAAAATGCATAACCTATTTTTTATTTTTTATTTTGCGTTTATTCATGTAACTAATACTCCCTTATTAGTCTACTTATTTTAGCATGACTTAGTATTTTTAGATTATGTTTATTTTTATTATGGCTTTTTAATTAGCAATATTGATATTACATAATTTTATTGTCTATATTGTTGAATATTTTAGGATAACTCCATGACACATCTTATATTTTGTATTATTTTTTTGAAAAATACCTTATATAGTCCTATCTTACTAGGATTAAAGAAATATTTTAAGCACAAATTATATTTTGTGCTACAAAGATTTTATCGGAAAAAACCCCGAATAATCCGATAACCCGAAAAAAATCGAGATTGAAAAATTCGAATTTTATTGGTTTGGTTTGGTCTTTAGATTTAATAACCCGACAATTAGTTTGGTTTTGTATTTGCAAAATTCGAACCAACCAGACGTATGTACAACCCTACCAATCAGTAGGGTCACATGAAATGAAATGGATAGAGTATAGGGTCTGGTCTGTTCAGACACAAAAATAGTGTCTGATAATCCCATTAAATTGTTAAAAAAAGTAACTAAATTAAATATATTTTTGGAAGAGAGCAAAGGATATGAGATTGAATAGCTGTAGGTATGTTCTATGGATTGCATGTGGCGTTGCAGGAATAATTTGAAATTCTCTCTCTTTTTCGAAGCTAATATCTGTTTTTAAGGAGTAATACATACTAGCTCACAAATTGTACTACTTGTGCAACAGTCGAATTAACGCGTATCGTGATGTCATTAAGTGTATAATGAATTAAAAAGTTTATTGCTTAAAGTTATAATGAAAAGGTATTCCAGACGGATCAAAAAAATGTTAAAATTTTCGAAATCAGCTTTTAAAATCTTTAGAAAATCAGTGTAGATCTAGTAGTTGATAAGCTGCAAGCGCAGCAATTCTTGTCATTCATGCAGTTGTGTAATACTACCTAATAAATATTTACTCGGGAGTTTTAGATTATGTTGATTTTGTTTGTAATAATCATTTAATGCAGGTGGAGTTCTGGATATGTTTGTTGCTGACAATTCTGGGGTACATACCGGGCATTATTTACGCACTTTATGTGTTGGTTGGATAGTGTAACACTTGTACTGTAAATATATGCCTCTTTATCTTTGTATTTCTCCAATAAATACTCTCTTTCTTCTTTTTTTTTCCTCTTATTCTACCTTTTTGTTTTGGTTCTTTTAATTTTCCATGGTGATCCGGGTAGTAGTCGTTGGTCATGTATATGACCAAACTTCGTTTATCAATGTACATTGGGCATACCTTTGGTGGAGTTACAACTACGTTTTATCCTGAACATGGGGATAATTACACAGCCTTGCATTTTTATGTGATACATGCAGAGAAAGAGGTACATTAATCTACTAATATCTTAGTTTAAGCTTTGTGCACTAACCTAATAACTTCTGACATAGGTGGATTAATCCTACCACGAAAACGGAATATAATAAATAATTATGCATGCATGGGTCATCTTAATCTACATGGAGGATCTCAAGAGCTAAAAGGGCTATCGAACTCTGTTTAATTTAACAACTTCCTACAAGAACTAATCTTATAACGAAATTAAGCAGTAAACCGATCCTAAAGAATCTAGGATAGGTTATGACATACCCAATTGGGTGAAAACGTGTCCTCTAAAGGCGGACAATGGATAATTTTAAAATTTATTTGGCTGGCGAGATATTGAAGAGAGGAGGGGTATAAACATCCTATGAAACAATTGTGTTTAAAATTCGTATTTTCTTTTCTATTTTTTTTTGGTGGGAGAAAAGATGGAATCATAAACTAGCATGTTCCAAATTTCCTATCTCGTGGAAGGTAGGACATTGGCGATCCTCAGTGGGATGAGTGCAGCAACAAAGAAAAACATAGTATCACAAACTGAAACAATCACTCGTGAGAAATAGCAAACTACAATGATACTGGAAGAATTTTGTGTAGCCCGTTTGGTTAGCTACCTTAAAGGTATACGTCTAGGCTATTACTTTTATTTAATACGGATGGCTACTTGTACTTATTTTTAAAGAACTCAATTTACTCTCCGGCAAAATCTTATTTAGTTATTACGCTTTCATGTTGACAACTTAATTACAATAAAGATAAATTCAATTCGGAATATGAACCATAAAAGAAAATATATACACAAATTAAACTCAAGTATTATAGGCACCAGTGACGTCTAAATGTCAATACTGATAATAAAGGCCCTTTGCTGTTAAAAGTTAGAATTCTTTAATACTTTTGACCAGAACCTTTCGGATAATCTTATTTAGTTTAGATTGTACTCCCAACTTCCCACAAATAATATGAACTGAGATAATATTGCATAATCTGCAGAATGAATTTCGGCACTCGGTGAACAGATTATTAATGGAAGCTTGTCAAATCAGGTCCATTTGGAACAAAATAAGCTGCTCTGAACGATTAGTACTAGTTTATTTTTCCCGACAACGATAAATAATTTAAGACCAAAATTAACACCACATGACAGCATATCCAGGGATACTGCTCAATTCATTTGCTTTTGGCATGTTTTTCAGCCCCTTGAATGGGGAGGTTCTTCCCATGTCAATGCGATTATCCAAATCTAGGCTACCGGTGCTAATTTTCAGCTTCCAGCCTTGTAGAATCATCTGAAAACCACCATTGACATGATACCGGTGCTGCAAACAAAAAATGAATTTGAGAAAATCCATGTGAGATGGATTCCATGTGATAAAAGTGCTGCAGACAAGCATCTTATATGACTGTGTATCAGAGATGTATAGGAAGCTGTTCTATGTTCTTACTGCAACACTGACCTGGTTGAGATTTCTCGAGGATCATTACATGTAAAAGTATAACGGAACCAATTCAGAAAAATAAATGACGAATGAATTAATATGGTTTACACAATTCCTCCAATGTGCCTGGCCCCTAAACATTGCAAAACAATACATGAGTTGACAGAGTTAGGACCACAGGTACTTCGAGTGATCCACTGTTATCAGTGCAGCAATGGTTGCTTGCCAGAGGTGTGACTAAACCTTATTGTTTCCATGCGTAAAGCTTATTTAAGAAACCATTCACATTTCACAAGGGTATATAAAACTCATTCGTGTTAGTTTACTTAGAGAGGGAGATCCCCATTCAAATAAACATGCATCGAGCTTTTTGCCCCATCAACAACTCCACAGGAGCAACACTCCTAACCACCATCATCCCACACCTAATCCTACATTGATTTCCCAATAACAGTTGTTTGACCTGGATTACTCTATTTCACTTTATCATTAAACATAACCGCTCAAGTAAAGACGAAAGGTAGTAAGTAGTCCTATATCTGGAAGCAGATGATACAAACATGTAGTTTCCAAAATTTTAAATTCTATCAAAATAAGCCAACTAGCAATCTGTGACCCTAAAGTCAGTTAGATATGGCAGCAATGAGGTTCCTCATGAAAAACTATTCCTCCGGTTCACTGGGAAAAGGAAAAAGAATTCAGAATCTACCCACATTTAAAGGAAATATCCAACAGGAAGTTGGAACCTGTGCAATACTGAAAACAGGGTGCATCATAAATCAGAAAAAGGAAATCTCCTCGATTCACAAAATCCTAGTAATTTGGACCTGTTGGGTGACAGTTTTGGAGAAGCTCGGTAGATATTGATTCCTTTGGCTAACTATAGGCTAGCATAGGGAATAATAATGGCCTAGTGCAAGAAAATGGAAAAAACTATGACACAGTTTCCAGTGGTGAAATGATTTAAATTCAGCAAAATTTGACGAGTAATTTCACTGGACTCCTTAGTTTCGTACGCGTATGGACTGTCCAAGCTCCAGCATGTTATGACAGGGTAATCTTTTTACCACTATAATTCAAACTTCTATGAACAAACTCAGAACTGCTGGGAGTTCAGAAATATGAGTTTAGACCCAAAACAAGAAGACAAAAAGGGGGGAAAAGAAAAATGAAAATAAAAAATGAAAAGAGAAGAAAAAGAGCTACAGAAATCTTATTTTTGTCAAGGAGATAACCTCTTACAGATGCCATTTTTCCTCAGCTTAGTCTTCAAGGCAAAAGAGGGAGGGGGAGGGGGAGCAGCCCACCAATACTGGATTTTTCTCCAATAATCCAGCAAAACAACAAATAGCAAAAAGTACCAGAAGAACCAATAGACAAACTCTATGCTCTCCAGGAAAACCGAAACTACACATGGTTCAAACCAGCATATACTGTTGCTACTACAAGCAAGAGAGGCTATAGTAAATACAAGCACCCCAAAATCAAGAAGCCCAACAAAGTCCAGAAGACAAGACTACAACATCCGGATTTCTAGAGAGCCATTAATGCAGTTTTGAAATTAGTAATCTCTAGAGAAATATCAGTGACTGTTCCATAGTGCATAGGCTCGCACAGACTTGAGATACAAATTGGGTCTCAGCAAAAGTTATATTGCGCACTTGGATATCACCTTAAACTCCAAACTAGATCTGGAGCAAGCATGTATTATATTGTGGATTGTGGAAGAAGTATTCAGAAAACAGCCTTTAAGTTGTTTTATTTTTTCCTGAAAACAGAAATATGAAAAAGAAAAATTATTTTACAAAATAACAACACAATTGCTTCCTGCAAAACAATTGTGTTCTCTAGTACAAACAGTATATTATCAGCACTACAAATGTCTACTTGAAAGAGTTAAAAGGACTTAAACCAGAAATTAAATTGACAAACTTAATTAGAACAACAATTTCAATGAAGACAGAAGGTACTGATAGTTGAGCTGAAGGTTGATTGAAGAAATCTGGTACAATAATGACATTTTTTTGGATTGTTCATCAAAATTCCAGAAATCTGGTACAATATTCCAGAATATATTTACAAGATATTGGGGTCTCTATTCAAGAACCGCAGAATATTGAAAATTACTCTATCAGGAAAATGTGCAAAACCATGAGAGGGACTTATCAGAAGGTGGTCTGGAAGAAGCTTGTATGTAATAACTTAGCAGTACCAAGGTGGATATTCATATTATTGATGGCAGCTCATGGCAGATTGCATACCAGAGACAGGTTGGTGAGATGGGGTGTAATTGACAGTCTAAGTTGTTCGTTCTGTAATACCGAGAATGAAAGTACAGATCGTCTATTTTTTAACTGTGCTTGGGTGGCAAATTGTTATGGATGCATTTGTTGGCAGACAATTTACTAGACGCAAGAATTAATAGGATAGATAATGATTGATATTTTCTGAATTATTTTGTCAGCTTTGAATAAAACTTCCCTTAGTGATTTAGAACTCTTGTTATCTCTTTTAGTTAGGACTCTTTTCTGAGTTAGGATTCTTGCTATTTCTTATTTGTTAGGACTCTTGCTTTGTAACCTCTATTTAAGAGAGTTGACGCTAATCAATAAAAGTAGTAGGTTGAATTTCTTCAAGTCACAGAGATTTGGAACTTTTCTCAAACAAGTTCCCAGGTGCGCAATTCCCTGCGCAATTCCCTGATTGAATTGCAAATCTAGCAATCATAGGCAGTCTAGGAACAAGAACAAGGGCTTAGACCTTTGTGTTGGGCCTGACTTTCCTGTTAATCGTCCAGCGACTCGATCCAAAATAAGAGACCATAACAATTTGGTATCAGAGCTTGTCACGATGGATGAAAAATCGGTAGAAGCAAAGGTGCGAAATCTTTTCCAGGAAGCCCAAGCTAAAGCTGAAGCAAAAGTAGCAGCTTCAGAAGCGAGGACAGACGCCAAATTCCAGCAACTATCGCAACAGATTGAAGCCTTAATCCGCACCGCGACGTTTATGAAGGGAGTTGAAGTTGGAGATAATAGTACTGTTGCTGCCCATTGAACCAGTAATGCAGGTGAACATTCAGATCTTCATCTAGGGAGAAGAAACAACATCAATTCTGGTATTGATGACAGCATCGGAGGAAGAGGTATAGTACCCAGATACACTAAATTAGACTTTCCTACTTATGATGGAACTGAAGATCTTATTTGGCTTCNCTCTTACTTGGCTTCACCGTGTGAGAAATTCTTTGCTAACCAGCGTACTGCCAACCAAGAAAAAGTAGGGTTAGCTTCTTTTCACATGGTCGGGGAGGCCCAATTATGGGTTTATCAACTAGAACGGGAGGAACCCAATTTGACGTGGGGTGTGTTCAAAGAATATTGTACCCTTCGGTTTGGCCCACCAATTAAAAGTAACCCATTAGGAGAGTTGATCAACTTGAAACAAACTAGTTCTGTGGAAGAATATCAGAGAAACTTCCAAAACCGGTTGGCTCGTGCTTCATCTGTGCGTATAGACCAACAAGTTGATATGTTTACAGCAGGGTTAGTTGATTCAATTCGTCTTGATGTTGAAATGCATAATCCATCTAACTTAGTGCAAGCAATGAGTCTGGCAAGAGCATTTGAGAAGAAAATACAGATTTCTTCTGCAACACAAAGGGGCTATGGTTCAACCTCAAACGGCAGTGTTAAAGTTGTCGGTACAGCAATGACTCCAAGTGCTAAGACTACTGCTTCTTATCCTTTCGTGAAAAGGTTGGCTCGCACCGAGATGGCTGCCCGGCGTGCAAAAGGATTGTGCTACAACTGCGATGATCCTTATGTTGCAGGCCATCAATCAGTGCAAAAAGTTATTTTGGCTGGAAATAGAGGATGGAGAATCTGAGGATATAACAACGGAAAACGAAGAGCCTGCTATCTCACTGCATGCTATCACAGGCAAACATGCAAATACTATGCAATTGCAAGTTGTAGTTGATATGAAGTTGTTGCTTAGCTTAGTGGATTCACGCAGCACACACTATTTTATTAGCTCTACTGCTACCCAGCGTTTAGGCTTGCCTATCCATCATCAGGCAAATCTCAATGTATCAGTGGCAAATGGCGAGAAAATCTCCAGTTTGGGCATTTGCAAGGGAGTGCAATTTTCTGTAATTACCCA